GAAGGATCACCAAGAAATAAAGTCTTACCGATGCTTTGCGTGTGAAAAAACCTTCCCTGAAAGTTCCTCTCTTCGGAAACATGAGAGTCAGCACACTGCTCCGGGAAGGGGAGAGTGTCCAGAATGTGGGAAGTTTTTCACTTGGAAATTAAGCCTGGTGCGACATCAGAGAATTCACTCCGGGGAGAAACCCTACGAATGCCCAGAATGTGAGAAGCGATTTACGTATCCTCATGATCTTGGAAAACACAAAATGACGCACAAAGGAGGAGAATGTGAGGAGGGTGGGAAACGGGACACAGGGACACACACTGGGATTCATCAGAGCAGCCACACAGGAGAGAAGCCCTATAAATGTGGGGAGTGTGGAAACTCCTTTGTTCAAAAGGGAGGCCTCTTTGAACATCTGAAGATCCACTCGGGGGAGAAGCCCTTTCAGTGCATCGAGTGTGGAAGGTTTTTCCTTACAAGAGGAGGCCTCAAACGCCACGGGCAGGTTCACAAAGGGGCAAAAGATTACAAATGTTTAGACTGTGGGGCAGCGTTTTCTTATTTGTCCACCCTTAGAAGTCACAACCGCATAAAGCACGTAGGAATGACGTCCCTTAAAGGCGATAGATCGAATGCAGAAGTGATGTCCTTTACATGCTCGGAGTGCGGTAAATGCTTTTACAGGAAAACGCATCTTTTGAAGCATCAGATCACTCATACCGGAGAAAAACCTCATCAGTGCCTGGACTGCGGGAAATATTTCGCTCAGAAAGAATATCTTAAAAGGCACGAGAGAGTTCACACCAGGGAGAAACCTTACAACTGTGGGGAATGTGGCAAGGCCTTCGCCCGCAGCCACGATCTTCGGGCCCACGAGCAGATTCACACAGGGATAAAGCCTTATAAATGCTCAGCGTGTGGAATGAGTTTCACTCATACGTCATCTCTTCGGAGTCATAAGAAAACACACGGCCGTCGGAAAAAATGAACAGAATGTGGGAAACAGGAGGAGTCCGTGCCCATCAGAGAATCCACACAGGGGAGAAGCCATATAAGTGTCGGGAGTGTGGAAAATGTTTTGCTCAGAAAGTAGCACTTTGGAAATATCCAAAGGTTCACTCAGGAGAGAAACCCTATAAGTCAGGGGTGTCAAACTCAATTTCATTGAGGGACGCATCAGCATTGCGGTTGCCGGGTGAGTGTGGCCAGGGTGGATGCGGCCTACTGGGTGGGTGTGGATGGAGTAGTGTGGCCTACTGGGTGGGCATGGCCAGCTCTACATCATTCGCGTCAAGGGTGCCTGTGGGGGCTTGGGTGGGACAGATCTGAGGGTCTCTGGCAGAAGGGGGTGGGACCAGGGCAAGTGCCAAGGCATGGTCCACTGGAGGAACCTCACTGTTCCTCTCAGGCCATGCGGGGGTGGGGGGCTTATGGAGCTAAGACTAAATGTGTTTCAGCATAGATGGCCACCACAAAATTGTACATTGGCTCCTGGCTGGCCTGGGCCAGGGCAGAGGGGGCCGTTCCCTCACTGTTTCCAGGATGGCTTCGCGGGCCACATGAAACCACTTCGTGGGCCACATGTCTGCTATAAGGGCATCAAGTGTGGAACATTTTTCTGTCAAGAATCAGCCCTTAGGAAACATATGAAAGTTCACATAGAGCATGGGTCTTCAAGTTGCCAAGTTTGAAGACACCTGACATAGAGGATAAAATTACAAATCTTTAGACCGCTAACTGTAAATGTCTCCACTACAATCCTTGCCTTCCTTTATTTGTACAGGGAGTCCTTGAGTTACGACCAAAATTGAGCCCAGCATCTATGTTGCTAAGGGAAACATTTGTTCAGCGCGTTTTGCCCCATTTTACAACTTTTCTTGCCACAGTTGTTAGTGAATCGCTGCCTTTGTGAAATTAGTAACGAATCTGGATTCCTCATGGACTGTGTTGGCAGAAGGTTGGAAAAGGGAATCAGGATAGTGCAACGGTCATAAATACGAACCAGTTGCCAAGCAACTGAATTTTGATCACATGACCATGGGGATGCTGCAGTGGTCCTAAGTGAAAAACGGTCATAAGTCGCTTTTTCCGGTGCCCTTGTAACTTCCAGCGGTCATTAAATGAACTTGTAAGTCAAGGACTGCCTGTATTCTCACATTCACACATGGAAGGACTCCCAGGAGAGTCTTGCCAAGCAGCCTGATCATCTCACTCTTGGACTACTGCCATGCGTTCTACATGGGGCTCCCCTGGGAGAGCATGTCAGAAGCTACACTGGGTGCAGAATGCAGTGGGCGCAGGCAGTCCTTGGGGCCCCTCGAATGACCTATGTTGTACTAGTGCAGGGGTGTCAACCTCAATTTCACTGAGGGCCGCATCAGCATTGCAGATGCCCTTGGGGGGCTGAGTGGGTGTGGCCAGAGTGGGTGCGGCCTAATGGGTGGGTGTGGATGGAGTGGGTGTGGCCTGCTGGGTGGGCGTGGCCAGTTCTACATCATTCGCGTCAAGGGTGCCTATGGGGGGCCTGGGCAGGAGTGGGACAGATCTGAGGGTCTCTAGCAGAAGGGGGTGGGACCGGGGCAAGTGCCAAGGCATGGTCCACCGGGGCAAGTGCCAAGATGGCCACCACAAAATTGTACATTGGCTCCTGGCCGGCCTGGGCCAGGGCCAAGGCAGCGGGGGCCATTCCCTCATTGTTTCCAGGATGGCTTCGCGGGCCACATGATACCACTTCGTGGGCCGCATCCGGCCCCCAGGCCTTGTGTTTGACATGTCTGTACTAGTGCTCTATGGATGCAAATAAGTCAGAAAGAAAGAAAGAAAGAAAGAAAGAAAGAGAGAAAAGAAAAAAAGAAAGAAGAAACAAAGAAAAGGAAGAAAGAAAGAAGGAAAAAAGAAAAGGAAGGAAGGAAAGGAAGGCTTTGTTAGCATAGAAAACAAACTTCTTCACAGTCTCTTGTATTTTTAGCAGAGACATTTGAAGCAAGTGGAAATTACTCAGATGTGCACTAAGTCTAAGCAATAAAAATGTGTAATTTAAAAATCCCGCCAGTCTTGGATATATAGAACATTGTTACTTAATGCTTACATTATTGTGCCTTTGGTTGGATTTTCATCCTTACTAAGAGGAAACGAGGTTACCCTTAATAGTAATTTTTTTCCTAATCGTTACTTCCATATTTATACTTTCAGTGGTAGGATAAGGAATAAAAAGAATTGAATTTATTTTAAAACATTTTCCTGGTCGATAAAAGCTTTCACAACCAGGAATTTTAACATGTCTTTGAACATGAGATACATGACAGAACAGCCATTTGTCTGAAATGGTGTAGGGTGTCCTGCCTGAGCAGGGGGTTGGACTCGATGACCTCCAAGGTTCCTTCCGACTATTATTATTATTATTATTATTATTATTATTATTATTATTATTATTATTATTATTATTATTATTATTATTATTATCATTATCATCATCATCATCATCATCATCATCATCATCATCATCTCAGGTTAAATCTTCCAGGGAGACTTTAAGACGTAGTGATTGTGAAAAAGATTTTTATGACCAAAGGTAGATCTTCCCTGGCTGTAGGTTTTCTCCTTTTCTCAAAAAAGCAAACATTCCCAAACAGTTTCCCTCTAATCCAGTGGTTCTCAACCTGTGGGTCGGGACTCCATTTGGGGTCGATCGACCATTTCATGGGGGTCACCAAGCAAGGCTGTCCGCCATTTTTTTTATCCGCCATTTTTTTCCCTTTTTTCCGGCGGGTGCCTTACCTCCCTTGGGCTGGGCCAGCTGGTGGTCGGCCTGCTCCGTCTCTGCCGCTTGCCAGCTACGCCTTGGCCGGCGCAGGGGACGGAACCACGCATGCGTGGCGCTCCTGGGCAGGGAAAGTCCTCAACTTACGACCGGTTGGGTAGTCCTCGACTTACGACTGGTTTAGTCCTCAACTTACGATCGGTTTAATCCTTGACTTACGACCGGTTTAGTCCTCGACTTACGACCGGTTGGGGTCGTGGCATTAAAAAGGTTGAGAACCACTGCTCTAATCCTTCAATTCGAAGGTCAACTGGGCTACAATTTCTAAATTCTCTAGAACGGAAACCCCGGGAGAAAGTTCATGGGTCCCGACTGAATTCATGGTCAACATCTTTACTGCTCTCTTGTCAAAGAGGCTGAGATGTCACCAGCGATGCCACACGAACGAGTTTGTGTGTGTACGTGTGTGTCCTGGAAGAAGCACTAGAAAAATAGGATCATTTGTTGATGACCACAAATGATGGGAATAGAATTGTGATACAGGCAGATCTTGACAAGGTGCCAAACTGGAAGACATCAGCAAGGGCACATTCAACAAAAGCAAAGGCCTTTGGGGAGGGAATGGAAACTGTCAGGATGGTGACTGAAAGGCTAAACAGCTTATGTAAAGATGTAATGCAGTGGTTCTCAACCTTTTTAATGCTGTGACCCCAACCAGTCGTAAGTCGAGGACTAAACCGGTCATAAGTTGAGGACTAAACCGGTCGTAAGTTGAGGACTTTCCCTGCCCGGGAGCGCCGCGCATGCGTGGTTCCGCCCCCTGCGCCGGCCGAGGCGTAGCTGGCAAGCGGCAGAGACAGAGCAGGCCGACCACCAGCTGGCCCAGCCCAAGGGAGGTAAGGCACCTGCCGGAAAAGGGGAAAACAAATGGACAAAAAAAATGGCGGACCAAAAAAATGGCGGACAGCCTTGCTTGGCGACCCCCGTGAAATGGTCGATCGACCCCAAATGGGGTCCCGATCCACAGGTTGAGAACCACTGATGTAATGTAATGTGGATGATGCAATAATATGTGTAATATAAACCACATTTAATGACAAACCACTGTTAACTGTATTTACTCCTGGGTTACCTCAGCGCAATAAGACTGTGCATGCTCTGACAGAAACATCAGATGGAGCAAAGCACCCCTGAACATTTTTTCAGTTTCTCGATCCAGTTTCCCCTTTCCTTGCTTTGTCCCTGTTGAATTTCTGCCTTGCTGATTTCTTCCATTCTGGCAGCAGGTTCAAGATCTTCCCAAATTACTATTCTATCCCCATTAGTTTCTATTATCAAGAAATAATCCTATTTTTTTTTCTAATGCCTCTTGCAGGACATTTATACATATGTCCAGCATTTTGCTAAGCCATCTATATAAATAAAAATGTACATGTTCGTTTGTTCAAAATCTTAAATCTCCAAAAGTTCTTCACCGATTGCTTTGAAATTTTGACACAATGTTGCATTCGAATACGCGCGTGTTTTTATATACCTACTATTATAGAGATGTCACACCTGTGACAGGTAAAAACGTGCTTTTTTTGAAAAACAGCGCCATCTGTTGGACGTAAAAGCAACACATGCATATATCTGCACAGACAGTTGAACGACAAAAAATATTGTATAGCCACAAGCATTGTGAAATTAAACATATTACAAACGTGCGCTTTCTCTTTTCTTTCTTTTCCATTTAACCAGACTGAGCCACAGCAACGCGTGGCCGGGTACAGCTAGTTTGAAATAAAAAATAAACCTGTGAATAGGACGGGAGCGGTGGTGCCCCGGTTCATGTCAATCGACACCCGAGCCAGTTTGATGTGCTGTAGTGGTTAAGGCATCAGTCCAGACACTGGGGGTCCTGAGTTCTAGTCCTACCTCAGGCACAAAGCCAGCCAGCTGGATTGCTTCTGATGGGCTGGATGCCAAAACAAAGCAAGGTTATGGCATAGACTTCAAAAGAGACCAGAAAGCTGTACTTGTGGACTTTGTCTGGCAAGAACAAAGAATGCTTATTTACAGGGAATATACACATGTAAAGCTTGTAAATACTGGCTGGTTAGAAAGCTGATAACAAAGAGTTAGGCAGCCCTCAGCTAAAGGTTAGGAACAGGGATGGCCGGGAGCAAATAGGATGTGTATTAGATAACTCCTGAAGCATTCATTAGCCAAGGCTTAGGAATGGGGACTGCTAGAGACCAATAGAATAATTGTTAGATTATTATTGAAATGTTTATTAGATGGTATTTCTTATATATCCCGCCTTCTGCTTTAGAGAAAATGTGTAAAGCTTTATTAATTCTATTGTTCGGGGTTCCTTGGCATTTTCTACCCAGGACC